CTGGGGGTGGTTTGCCCTTCTGACAACTTCTTCACTGCCCCTCCCCCCCAAGCTGGAGGTTCTTGTTCTATCTCTGCTCCTCTGTGGGTGGCTTCTCCATCCTGTACCACGTGAGTGTGCCCAGCCCGGTTCACCCACCCCACGAGCACCTACTTGTGTGGCCTGCCCAGGGCTGGGGAGGACATGGGGGATGGGGAAGACGGGCTGTGGGCAGCCTTAAACTGGGGGACGGGATCACAGTGGAGGCTACTGCAGCGAACGAGTGGCCCCCTCCCCCGGACTTGAGTGGGGCCAGATATGTAGCCAGGCAGTTCAGAAGGGCCAGACCCCGGTGGGGTGCTGGGCGCTGAGCTGGGTCCTGGGACGGTTTCCACAGGAGTCGTGGCTGTGGACGACGGTCATGTGCTGGGAAAATTACCCCAAGCAGGTGAGTAGTAGGGGGTGCACAGAGGCTGCTGGGAGAGCTGAGGTGGGCGCCAGGCAGCTAGGCCTTGGGGGAGTGCCAAGCCTAACATTACACCAGCCCTGCCCTCCCCCCACCCACCACACACACACACCCCATACCCGCCCCGAAGTCAAATGGGTCCAGGAGCCTGGAAATAAGAACGGGGCTACCACAGAAACCACTGCTTTTGATTACCTCTAGGCATGGGATGCTCACTCCTTACTCAGATGGGGCATCCTGGGTGGGGGTGGGGGTGGGGGTGGGGGTGCGGAGGACGGTCCTGAGCCCCTCTGCACAGCTGCCCTTGCCCCACGCAGCCCTTGAAGCTCGCCATGTATTGGTGGTACCTCCTGGAGCTGAGCTTCTACTTGTCCCTGCTGATGACGCTGTCCTTTGACACCAAGCGCAAGGTGAGGTACAGAGAGCCCCGCCCCCACGACCCTCCCTGGGGAGGGCCAGAGGCTCCTCCCCAGCCACAGAGCCCTGACCTGACAGCCCACCCCCCACCCCCACAGGACTTCAAGGAACAGGTGGCCCACCACCTCGTGACCATCTTTCTAGTTACCTTCTCCTACAGCGCCAACCTGCTGCGCATCGGCTCCCTGGTGTTTCTGCTTCACGACTCGTCGGACCCCCTGCTGGAGGTGGGCCCCCCCGCGACACGCCCCGGGACCATGCCCACAGCCACGCCCCCTTGGCCACGCCCCTCCGTTCACCTGGATCCCTCCAGCTCCGTGCTTTCTCTGGCCTTTTCTGAGCCCCAAAGACAAGTTCTGCCCCTCCCCTAACCACTCCCCACAGCCCCTTTTCCCCTGAAATGAGGCCCCGACTCTCATAGCAGCTCCTGAGAAG